GTTACACCTGATCCTGAAATTGGATTGGTCGTTATTACAAGGGGTGGAAAAAATTTTGTGGGACAGCTACCTAAAATTAACAAAAGTTCCATCTCTGATTGTAATTCATAAAAATACCAGTCAGGCTTTCTATCATTAAAGCCTTAAAATATTTTATATCATTTAGGTTTAGTGGACGTGGTTTTCTTACAAGTTGCAGAAGTCTTTAACACATCCATACCTTTGAAATTGAAGATCTTTTAACATCTAAGGGTTTAGCAATTGTTCGAACTGATAATTCTTCTAAATTTTTTTGAATATTTTCCTGCGAATGTGCTTCGAAAATATCATCTTTAACCAGCGTTATATCGATATTGGTTATCTGGTTATTATCAATTAAAATTTCACTGCTGCACCGTAAATAATATGTTTCACATGAGCTGTTAGACTATCTACGCAAATAATAAACGTTACATTGATCATGCCGAAATCAATAACTTATCGAATCGGCCAAATAATCATTCGGTCAATTTTTTTACCAGATGTCCCAAAATTTATGAGAACAGCTGTAAGATAAATAAGGATGTATCAAGAAAAGCATTTAGACATTTAAGAAATGATATTCGGTATTATTTACAATTTGGGATTCACACATATTTAGCAGTCACATTTCCTATTGACTCACATCTGCTTAGTAAGTCAATAGATTTGACGTTAATCATGTAAATCTTCAATAGGAAATTGATACGCCCAATATATGTAAATCATAGTTTCGTATAAGACAATTATAGTTTCGTATAAGAAAACATAGTTTGTATAAAAATATTATAATTTTGTAGGGATTTTTTGATATTTAAGTAATTATACATATAAAATTTTAACTATTAGTTTTTTTTTTTAAAAAAAAAGTGATTTAATTTAAAAAAATGGGTATATATTTTATAATATATCAATTATTAAAATTATGATCATCGATTTTGTACTATGATAATTACTCTACCCTTAATTTCTATCTCAATTTCTATATCATGCGTGCGTACGTAATAATGTATTCATTTTTCCTTTTTTTAGTTTTACTGCCACGTGATTATATACGTACTGACTAGGGTGTCCATTTTGAGTTATTAGCAAATAAAAGAACGACAAGTCAGGTGATTATAGTCACGGGGACAAACCGGTTTATTCATTTAACCAATCAATTTTTATTCATATGCTGCATGAAAATATACGATTTAATATAGTAAAAATGGATCATAATCCTGGGCTGACGTACTGTATTCATTTTTCCTTTTTTTAGATTTTACTACTACGTAATTTATACGTAAAAGTAAAACTGATGAAAATTTCCTTTCCTGGAATTTCTAGAAACTTTTTTGTCAAATGCTTGCCGTAGATCTTCTGCACAAAGGCGTTACAATGACACAAATAGTTGTAAGATCTAACCATACTCAACGCAACTCAATACAAAAAGCTAACTTTTGGGGTTTTTGCTGCAACTAAGAGTTGACATAACACATTTATCAAATTTTTCTTCCTATAACAACTTTGAACAATTTTTGCTATGGTAAGTTGTTGACAAACGTTTTGAGCGTTTACACATAATAGAGAAAAAACCGGAAACATTTGTTGAAGTGTAAATGCTTAAAAATGTTTACTGATAAACGAAACAATTTTTGGAATGTGAATCGGACTTGCAACAAGTGTGAGCCGAGTAAGCCGAATTTGAGCACATTTTATAAACAATTGGCATCTTAAATTAGTTTTTGGTTAATAAATAAGTTGTAGAAAATTAACTATATTTAACAAAAGTTTATTAATTTGATTTTGTTTTTTTGAGTAGTTTAAATGGGATCAAATAGTGAGAAGAAAATTTAATTGATTAATCCTTAAATCAGTCCTATTTAAATTACTTGAAAACAAATACAAGCGTTAACAACTTATATTAAATATAATTAGTTAATAAAAGATTTAATTTTCAGCAACTTTTACTTATTTAACCAAGGATTAATTTAAAATGACAATTTTTTATTACAATTTCAGCGGGACCGATTCACATCATCAGATAATTTTTCGTCTGCTTCAACATTCTTAACTATTTTAATAATTTAATAATGATAGGACCAATTGACTGAGCAACAACGTGCCGAATATAAAGAGGCATTTACACTATTTGATAAAGATAAAGATGGAGTTATTACAATTCATGAACTTAAGAGTGTTATGAAGTCTCTTGGTCAAACTCCCACCGAAGCCGAGTTACAAGAGATGATGAACGATGTTGATATCGATAAGAATGGTACAATTGACTTTAATGAATTCCTAAGTATGATGGCTCGTAAGGTTGATGATGCTGATAATGAGGAAGAAATGAGAGCAGCCTTCAAGGTTTTTGATAAAGATAACAACGGGTTCATTTCTAAATCTGAGTTGAGAGACTTAATGTGCAATCTTGGAGAAAATCTTACGCAAGGGGAGATTGATGAAATGGTAAGTCTTAATCATTTTAATAAGATTACTGCAGTTATATAGATGTCCCTTGGATATTATTTAATATCTAATATAAATTTGATTTGCATAGTTCCGTGAAGCCGATGTTGATGGTGACGGACAAATCAATTATGAAGAATTCGTCAAGATAATGGGGGATACTAAATAAATTTTCAAAAAAAAAAAACGTAATAACTATCAAAACAGTAGATAAATGGAATACGTAACTAACTATCTTTTCAAAGTTTAGCCATTTCTTGTTGCTATATATGTATTATTTTCATGATCAGTTTTATGAACAAGAATATTCTCAATATTTTTAACAATTGCTCTGATTTTTTATAATTGCTCTGATTTTTTATAATTGCTCTGATTTTTTATAATTGCTCTAATTTTTTACAAATGTTTTGATTTTTTACAATTGCTCTGATCTAGACTTTTGCATGTATCTATTTCTGGTATCTTTTTGTGTGTTGATAATTTAGGCCAAAGACTAACGAAAGAGTTTGTTAATTCATTTTAGAAAAATGAAATGAAAATACCGCAAATATCATTGTGGCATACTATTAAAGCAAAAAGAATATTACAATGGTATTAAGCTCTTAACTATTATGAAAATGTTTACAATCAAGATCGGATATCCGAATTATATTTTTCATATTTGGATATAATTGCCTTGTTAAACTTTAATCATTTTTATTTATTCAAATTAGTTAATCCTTAATAGTAACCTCATTCTAATGGGCTCTGTTAAAAGCGGATTTCGTAATATAACGGAGTAATTCTCTAGAAAATTTTAAAATCATTGTTATTATACTACATATGCTATACTATATATGCTATTTATTATACGTACTGGGTTACGTTATAACATGGGTAGAGTGTACATAGATCCACGTAATATCCAAACGGCAAATAAAATTTCTTTATAATATACCTTTATTATATATGAGTAACATGTTTTGAGTTAAAATTTCGGCTCTTAAGGGATATTGGGATATTATGACCAAACAAGTACGTATTAGTGACGAATTGTAATATCTCATGTTCCAGTTCCAATAATTGGTCCACGAATAACATTGTAAACATAATTAAATTAATTTTGTTATTATAAAAGCTAAAATCAAAATTAATTCTATTTTTGTATTATTTTAAAGGCCGATAGTATCGAATAGCATATGAGTGCCGTCAAGGGAAACCCAAAATTCTGGCTTTCAATTATATTTTGTGTTTAGTTTATTTTCTGAGTGTCATCTAATAAAAATCTACCATCTGATTTTATCGAAAGTTCGAAGATAGATTTACCCTAGACGACACTCAGAAAATAAACTGAACACAAAATATAATTGAAAGCCAGAATTTTGATTTTCCCTTGACGGCACTCATATGTACAAGTCATTTAAACTACGTACCAGGTACTATACGTACGTACGTACGTACGTACGTGCGCTTAAAAATTCTGAAAACTTTTAGCCACTGTGATTTGTGCTTTCAACGGGAAAGAATAAACCCAAAACGACTATATGAGAAAGTGCAAAGAAAAATTAACACTAGGGTTCCGCATGAGATGGACTATCCATGGATTGTTCATGGGTTGGCCCATCATGTGGCGGGCTTGGATACCAATATGGATTTTTTGTTGGATTCGGTCTTAAAGATCCAGATCCATAAAAATTGGATAAATTCGGATCTGTATCTAGTGTTGTTAGGCAAAACCTAGAGGTTTTGCCATTGGCAAAAGTCAAAACTAGTTTCGACTTTTGTCAAAAATAAAATGCCAAAATGTCAAAACTGGCAAAACTGGCAAAACTGCTAAAAGTGAAAAACTGAAAAAAATAATAAAAAATAAAAAAAAAACTAGTAAAGAAACAAGAATAGTAAAGTAATTTAAAAAAATTAAAATCTTTTTATCTAATTATCAATCTTATTATTAATGTCACTACCTAGATACCTACCTACAGATGCTCAGATTTGGATTTTAGAATAAATATAATAGAACAGGGTGAAACCTGAGTTGCAAAATAGTGAAATCCGCTTTGTAGATCGGGTTAGGGTGAAATCCGCGTTATATTATGTTTTTTATTATATAAAAGCGGATTTCACCCTTGTGTGATGATCATAGCGGATTTCACTATTTCGCAACTC